CACAAGTGGCCTTTTCAGATACCGTAAATGTAGCTGAGTGATGAAAACAGCCACATTAACTACTTTTTGTAAGACTCCAAAACGAATTATACATCGCACTTTCTTAAAAATACTAGTATTGTTTCCAACAAAATGTTCAAAACACTTTCCTACCAGCTCCGGAGGGTGCTGAGGTGGTGGGCCATTTGCCTCTGTACCAAAGAATCAGCATATGGGAGGAGAAAGTAGTCACTTTCATATTTCCACCAGAGCCTACTCATCCCCTTCCCATCTTCTGTTCTTAAACAGCCCCAAAGTTAAAGGCAACTGTGACAAAAAAAAAAAAAAAAGGCTTTGGTTTGCACAGCTAGTTTTTGGTGGGAGGATACCTGCCTTGTAGCAAACATGGTGTGTGTATGGGCTTCCTGAGTACTGTGCTGGGAGTCCAAGTTCAAGGACAACCTGACCTTCACAGTCTGGGCCATTCAGGTGGCCTGTGCTCCAGAGTACAGAGGGGTGATATGGGGACACACTAGGGGCTGCCAAGTTGTCTGGCTGTTATTGCTAGGGCCGCCCAGTGGTCCCAGGGCCACCCAGCGGTGCCTGGAGGTGCTCCTTTGTGAGGCTGAGCAGGATGCCCCAGAGTCCTTCTCACAGAAGCTGCTGGACTTTGCCATGACTGGGTAGAACAGACAACACCTCCCTCACCTTCTCTGCTCTGTTCTTAGGCCACTAGTGGTTCCTCACATCCTTGACTACATGGTTATTACAAACACTAGCAATTTAAAACAAGCACCTCAAACCACAGAGGACAAGTGGCTGACGCTGGAGCTTTGGCTTCCCTCCAGAGGCACCCTCAGGCGTCTTCCTGCTCCTGCCCAGCACCAAATCCTCCCTCTTCCCCTTCTTGACAGCCCAAGGTTCTGACAGTGCCTTGGCTATGGGTTTGATCCCTCTTGGAGTCTGGGATGCTGGGGAAGTGGGGATAAGCCCTGAGGTCATCAGAAATGAGGGGAGGCTGTTTTATGACCACCCTCCCGCTGAAGGTGGAAGGAGCAAAAAAATGTACATCTACTACATCTGAACCCTTGTCTCAGATTCCCCTAACGTCTCTGCTAAATCCTGCTCGTCCTTTCCCTTCCCTGGCATGGTTCCCTAAGTGCATCCCCCCTCCTTTCCTCAGCATTCTCACTTCCTCCAAGAGTCCCACTGGCCCCCATTCTCCCTGCGGGCATCCCCAGG